TTTATTTCTTATATTGCAAACATTTGCACTCTTATCAGTATTTGCACACTATTTTATATTATTTTTTGACAATCTTTAAAGTCATTATTCAATACATTGTTATTGTTAAATAAATATCGACAAATAATCGAGATCTCAATTTCAGTGAAAATAATCGTGATTATCATTTTTGCCATAATCGAGCAGCCCTAATATAGACTAGTGGTAATAATGAGCTGATAGATGTGGCGACAATTTTCATTTCTTCTTGACTCTTATAGAAACAAAATGAAGCAATTTAAGATTGATTTAAAAAGACCGATAATCAATTGGTGGACGACAGGAATTAGACTTTCAGCCATTTAGCCCCACACATACACTCATCAAGAACATGAATGTCATGGTAATTTGGGGCAAAACAAGTTTGGATTTTTTAATAATCCACACAGGCTCAAACATATACATACAGGCTCAAAATCTTTTAATAAGTGGTGCTGAAGGTTCTATGATGTCTCAACTTGACAAGGCTTTTTCTTTTTAGTTATCACGATTGACTAAAACTGGTAGTTTCTTTGCGGAAAGTACGGAAAGGATTTGTTTAACAGCCCTCATTGGACTTACAAATGCTCAGAACAGTGGGGGAAGTCTATGGTAGCGGTCTCAAACCCCTGGGCCACAGACCAGTACTGGTCCGTGAGTCGTTTGGTACTGTGCCGTGAGAGATTAGGCTCGGGTGTGAAATTTATGGTTTTCAGGGTTTTTATCGGTTTTGTATCGTTATTTTTTATTGTTTTTATCGTTAACTCGGTTTCCCTGAGTCTTTTTCCGTGTTTTATGAATAATTTTTTTTGGTACCGGTACTGGCTTTATTTTGTTGTATTTATCCGCGACACCTTGAACGTCCGTGAAAATATTGTCAGACATAACCCGGGCCGTGGTGCAAAAAAGGTTGCGGACCGCTGGTCTAAGGAACTCACTGAAGATCTAAGAAGGAGAATTGTAGATTTACACAAGTTAGGAAGGTCTAAATAACTGCAGACTCGAAGATCATCAGTTCAAACAATTGTAAGTACAAGTTATTCAGATGTGGAAAAAGACCCAAACTGTCACACAGGAAATTGGTTAGGATCTTCAGAAACAGCACAGAAACTACCAAGGTTCAAGCCTGACATGAACTGGAAACCTCTAGGACACCAGAGAGGGTGCCGATTAAGAAAGAAACCCCTGCTCCAATATAGACCTCTTTTATAAACATTTATTATGTGGCAAGACAACGATTGAACTTATATCATTGCCTTGAGTTTACATATAGAGTTATAGTTGGAGGAGTAAAGATGAGGCTTTCAAACCCAAGAACACTGCACCAACTGTCAAGCATGGTGGTGGTAGCATCATTCTCTGGGCCTGTTTTGCTGACAGTGGTAAAGGTGCATTGCACAAAGTGGATAAAAATCAAAAGTGGATGGATGAAACTTGGGTTTCGGATGTAACTAAGTTTCTGAAATGGCCTTCCCAAATCCCCTATATATCCAAGTATATAGGCAGTATAACAGAGCCTGTATTTATATATACTTTTGACCGTGTGTGGATTAGAGAAAATACAAAATAAATTGAAACTTGGGCACCCAGTACTTGTTTTATCAAGTCATTAAAGATGTATGCTACACAATCATTCCAGAACAAAGAACAGCTTAAAGAAATCATTAAAAGCCAGAAATTATCATGACATTCATGCCCATAGTTAGTTTAAACAGTATTAAACAGCTTTCAGTCTATATGTACTGAGCATGTGCAGTAGTTCACAGATATATTTCTCTTAATCTGTAGCCATGTTTGCTTTGAAATCTCTGATGGTTTTGATCTCATTTTCTTACCTTATGTACACGACCCCTCCGCCGTGCTCTGTCTTGCGCTGCCAGCCAATGGGGACCTGGACAGGGACGGCCTGCCTCTCATCTCCTGCCTCACAGTCCTTTCCGCCATTCATTGCTCCGCTGGTTTTACGCTCGACACCTCAGAGGTATATATATCAGACATCAACCAGCGTCTTCGCAATGCACATCATGTTTGTCTTCCAAAGCCGTGGCCGAGGTGGCGATAGGAGGGAGGGTTCAGGATGATGAATATTCACTTTAGAGTGGGAGTGTGCTCTCAGGTGGAGCTGATGGGGGATGGGGGTGCAGGGTGGGTAGGGTGAGGCGAGCTCACGGCAGACCCTACCCTTTGAGCTGCTTCATGGCCACGGTGCTGAACGGCGGGTGGACTTCCATTACTGCAGCTCGTCATTCGGAGCCATCCGACTCGGGAGGGGAGAAGGAGGAGGGGTGGGGGGTTGGGGTGAGGAATCGGCTGTGCGTTCAGGGGAGAGTCGCTTTACTTTTAATTTTTCACCATTTGTCTCTCACCGCCCAGAACAGGCTCCCCTCAGGCGGACATGTTGCGGACCATGTTCAACATATTGGTTCCCAAATGCAGTTGGGTAGTGGTATTCCCATGGTTCCTTTGAGGGCAGAGGAGAAAAGACAGAGGTGTAAGAACAAGAAACAAAGAATTACACATCAAAAATATTTAACAGGCGTACAGCCCTAATAGAAAATGATTTCTTAGTTAACAAAAGCACATCAAGAGCGCAACTCCCCCGAAGGGCAAGGGCTTCAGTTGCAGGGCGTTGCATTGAAAAGATAAAGTCCGTTGTACAGCCCTCCCCGTGCCCGTTCATGAAACATTATACTTGATATGGTTTCCTTTTTTAATTTTTTTGTATCAAGGTTAAGTTTTACCTTGGGTGCTAACAATGAAGGTCAAGGTCAAATAATTACCCATTCCAGGTACTCGTATACCCCAAGGCCTAGTATATTGTTGTGAAATTGTGGGTAATATAAAGTTTTTACTGTTTTTTTTTAATTTGGTGTCACCTTGACCTGATTTTCATGAAAATTAAATCAGCTTGAGCTGTTGTTGGTATCTACCATCACACAAAATTTGAAAATTATATCTTGTAAACTGTGGAGACTAAACTGCTAACAAAAACACAGACAGACAAATGGAACCAATTACATACTCCCTCTTTTTGGAGGGGAGAGCAAAAACGTACTATCTAAGCAACAAAGCCTATTGTTCAGAACTAATTTAAGAAATTTAACCCCCATGATGCACTCTAATTTACTTTGGGGCGATACAGGGAAATACAGGGTATAACAAAAATCTGCAGTTATATCTAAATAATTTCTTGTGGCTCAATGGACAGTTAAAATTAGGGTGGGGCCACTCTGATATGTCGATATCAGTTGGTTCCTGACCCAAAAAGCTGGAAGAGATATCTGTAGCTCCTGGCTCTGAAAAGTGAAGCCGATGCAGATTTGTCTTACAACTGCATTCTATTTAATGAGCATTAGGAGGCGAACTCTCTGACTCTGCAAAGAGGACTGCCTACAGAAGTCTAGGGGAAGAAAACCCCTTGCATCTGTAGAGTGACCTCAGAAAACATTTTCCTGATGAGTTTATGTGCTCAGACACTAATTTCAAGCCATACTGAGTAAAACACTAATTTGACCTTGTAAATTATGGTCAAAATTAGCACAATTAGAGTGTGATAAAAGAATTTCCCACAGAATGCTAACAGACTGCCATGGTTGCTTGTGTTTTACATGGACGATGACAATTTGTCTAGAAACATTTGCTAACAAACCACTGAGTGTTAGTGAAACCTGCAAAAATGCATTTCACCTTCTAAGGAAAATATACGCTTTACCACATTTCAAAAGGTCCAACCTTTACTTTGAAGGCAAATGTTCTTGGTTCCAGTTTGCAGGACAGTCTTGACACTACCACCACGATCTATTGGTGATTGATCGATGACGATTAATGATGACTATTGCTATCATTCAGAGACCAAAGCAATTGTAAATGTACTACTAAGAGTCCGGAAATTATAGTTGACCACAGATTATAAAGAGTTCTTGGTCTATGAGTAGGATATTGAGTAAAAGTAATAGTAAAACCAAGGTGCATACTTTATTAAAGGTCTTTCACCTTCAACACGACAACAGCACCACTGCGCCACGCAAGGCCAGTTACCCGTCAAAGAACAACGCAAGCATGCCCATCGGGGGAGCCTTGGTGCTTGCTGTAATGTGACATACATATAGTGGACCAATAAAAATGCAGAATGACAAGAGGTGTGCTTTTAATACAAGCAAAATCCACGAACAGTCTGCAAACATGATGTGGACCAGAATGTAGTTAATTTTGGGTCTTCAGGCTATGAGACGGAGGCAGACCGCAAGCAAAAGACTAGCTTTTAATGTTTAAAGCAAGTTTGAATTTCAAAGCTTTAATGTACAGATTACAAATCAACGACATCACCAAGAGGGAGACAAAAAATATTAATTCATGAATACACAAACTGTTCTTGACAAGATGAACTCCTCTTTGCAGCTCAGAAACTTGAGCCAGAAAACTTGAGTTATTCTGCAACCTTCTAAGAAATGGAACAGGAATGATAGCTCAGCTGTCAAGTCTCCAATGGTCCATGTCTGTAGCAAAGTATAATCAAGGTCTTAACAAAGAAAGGTGATAACCAGCATTGTGATACACATTAACTCTTACTAGGGTTTTACGTTTTGTCAAGCGAGCTAATGCAAAGAAAGCCTGGCTACTAGAAGTAGTAACATCTCGCTGCAAGAAAATCATCATCAGCTGTCTAATAAGTTTGGTACCAGAACCAATACCAGTATCCTTACTATGTGTCTGTAGTTTAATCGCTTAAATATTAGACGAAGGTTTAACACAGCAATTGATTGTTGAAAATGCTTTCATTTATCCTCACCGCTTTCATAACAACAGGTCTTTAATCTTGCCTCAACATTCAAGTCTATATAAAGAAAACAAAAAAAACAAAACTGAAGCAGTTTTGTCAGCTTCCCCCCCTCTCCCTATCAGACAGTAGGAGAAGCCCGTCAAAGCTGGTAATCAGGCTGAATAGAGCCTGTGAGTGATGGAGCTCCATGCAAAGCTTCCTCTCAGCCGCTGGTGCTGCTGACTCATAACTGAGACCAAACTCAGTGACACCACCACAGAGGAAGAACGGTTTTTAAAAAAAGGAAAGAAAAAAAAAAGAAAAAAAAGAGGTGGCAGTTAAACGTACGCAGTTTATCTGGAAAGACACGACAGCAAAAGGAGAAACCTCTGCTGCACAGTTAAAATCTAATTTAACATAAGTCTAAGTCTAGAGAAGACATTGTTTCTACCGTTGGGTTCACACTGGAGGGAAAAATGAATTATACTTCCCTGTAGGAGCCCAGTGCAGCGTTGCTATTTGAAGACATCTTTGGCTTTTATAAATACTGTTTTTTGTGAGGCATGCTCTCTTGTATTATTCCCTCAAATTGGAAAGATACAGACTCGTAAAATCATGGGCCTGACCTCAATCAAACACTTGTGATTTTTTTTTTTTAAATTACCAACCACCAGGAGCTACTCTACAACACAAAAATTCATAAGCATGATTATTTTTGATCAGTTAATCTTATTCACTTAACACAATCCTACTCTTTTCCCTATTTTTGGTTTACCCTTCTTTAAAACTTCTTCTTATGCACGAACTAGCTTCATGGATCAGTTTTTTAGTTTTTTTTATCATCTGTCTGCTGCAGTCATACCACATGAATTACAAAAACTTACATAACAATAACAGTGTTAACAGTTTTCCCCCCACTGGGGCAGGTCGATCACTTTAAATTCCCCCAAAATAAAGCCAATTAAAATTACTTTACATACTGTTACCTTATTGCATAAAAATAACATGTCATTTATTAGCAGATTGATACTTCCAGTGCAGTTAGTACATAAAGTAAAATGCATGTAAAGGAGTTAAAAATAAATATACATAACAAACGTTGGGGGAATCTGTTTTGTCTTCATCTAACTGAGCAACAAAGTATTGGTCGATTACATTTTTAAATATCTGTACCAGTCTTGAAAATCATACATCATAGGCTCTAAAAGAGAGGCAGCTGTTAGCCTGCATCAAATTTACAAGAAATTTTTACAGATTTAGAGATCTATCAGGTAGCAACAGTGTTTAGCAGTGCTGCTTCACACCAGGAAGGTCCTGAGTTCGATTCTACCACGTGCCTAGGGCCTTTCTGTGTGGAGTTCACATGTTCTCCCCATGTATGCGTGGGTACTCTCTGGGTACTCCAGCTTCCTCCCACAGTCCAAAGGCATGCCGTTATAGGGGTTAGGTTAATTGATGATTCTAAACTGCCCATAAGTGTGACTGTGAATGGTTGTCTCTGGTTTGAGTGTTTTAAGTCTGTGCCAGATTGGTGACCAGTCCATGGCTCCAGCCGTTGGGTGGACAAAGATCAGTTTATCTGCAAGCAGACAGTTTCCATTTTCCATTTTAGCTTCTACTTAAATTACTATGCCGCCGTGTAAAAAGTAGATGGAAGCAGTTAAAAAAACAAAACAAAAAAAAAAAAAAAACAGTTTTTCGTTACCTTTAAACAATCCATATGGGTGGTTTGATTTCCATTGGCATTTCATTGTGAAAATACTGGCGGTAATAAAAACTAATCATTAAAAACTAATGATTACTGGCTCCAAAGATTCGGCCACTTTTTATGTTGAACCCTGCACAAATACAAAATTTAAGGGGAAAAAAAAATCAAACGTAAACAGGATTTTATCAATTTCTCTCAAACCACACATATAATTATTATGGACAACCACATTTGACTTTTGAAAAATGTTCTCTTAAGTCTTGGCAATCATGGACGAACAAAAAAAAATCTTTCTCTAACCGATATCAATAAACTAGTTACATGCTTTCCAAACTACAACTTTCTACATGAAATTTGCTGTCATTAGCAGCCATGCTAATGGACATACCAGTAGTATCAGTACACATCTGCACTACAAAAAACAGGGTACATGTGAATACAGCATATGCTATGCTGTCCCAAACAAATGCTGTGTCCTGGTAGACTGTAAAGCTTGAGGGCTACGACTTCACCAAAGATATCACAGGAATGGTGAATTTCTATCCACCTAGGTTAAAATCTACAAGTTCGACGTCTTCTAAGTGGTCAAGTAATGTCCTCGCTGTCAGCAAGGACTCCCAACCAGGAGGGTTAAGAAAAACGTGTCTTTTTACAGAGGATTTCCTTAAACCTAAAGTACAAAAAACAGTGGGAAAAGGAAATGAAACCCATTTTTGTGTGTTTCCTTTGCTGCTTGAACATGCTGAAAGTGTGTTTTCTTAGTCATAGGTGACAGCAGAGCTGAGTTCCCGAAACATAACTGCACATCATGGCTGCAGCAGCTGGAGATACCACTTGGAAGACAAAAGAAGTATGAGTCACCATCTCGGGCTGTTTGTATTTTCTCCTGCCAGCTGTTTATAGCAGTGGCGGTCATGAAGAGAACAATGAGGAAGATGCATAAAGGCTCCCAGCCTTCAATAAAGCACACCTACTAAAGCTACCTCTACCTGTC